AGTAAATCTGTACATGTTTTATTTGCATTAAGGCGAAGCGACAGCCTCCCCTTGCAATAATATTCCTAAAAGTGAACCTCGGCATGCACTTGGACAAACGGTTAACATGGATACAGCATAGCAAGCCAAAAATAAACAATTAAAAATAAAAACTAACCAAGATTATTGGCTACTCGGACATAAGTCGCCGTTACAACTAGAAAACAAATTGCTATTGTATAAAGCCATACTTACGGTAAACCTACTATGTAGACCTTGGTGTGCAAATTTGGGGCACTGCTAGTAATTCATATATTGAAATTTTACAAAGATATCAATCAAAACCTCTAAGATTATTTAAGAACGCCCCTTGGTTCATAATAAATAAGGCCATCCATTCAGATCTTAAAATGCCTTTTGTTAAAACTGAGATAAAAATATTCAGGCCAGCAATGTTATTATATGAGAGCAATGAAAATATTAGACTCAAAAGGCAAGATATTCTATATCTACAATTTAGGAATTGTATTACTACGATATTAAATGTATTTTTAAATTTGTTTGCATAAACACATGAAATATGAATACATTATATATTTATAGTTATTGGTCTCCAGTGAGATTATGATTTTATCTAATTTGCTTATTATATCATTCATAATTTAATCGCGTCAAACTTCTTTTAGCACTGGCGGCCTTCGACCGCGCTTTAAAAAAATAACCCTGGCCAATCCAATACCATAATTTATCAATAGAAGGGAATGAACAAAATTATAGTTCATGTATTTGGGGTATAATCCTCTTTTATTGTTCATTTTAATTCGCTTTCAAAATATATATTTATATATATATATATATAATAGATACGGCAACACTTATTATCTGACAACATGGAACTCATTTGTTATTGTTCATATTACGAAAATTGTGTAAAAATTAAATGCTTATATGCAAATACTTAAATATTTAATATAAAATAAATATGTAGAAACATTGAAGTGAAAAGTTAGTGTATAATAAGTGCATAATATGAAAGAAAAGATAACCATAAATCGAGAAATTGTAAAATGAAATTTGTGAAATTTTCAACTTAAAATGCAAATATCTCGAAAACTATAAATTTCCGGCGCAATAATTACCAACCATACCCCTCTTAACCCTGAAATCGTGGGATGCTAAACTAAAGCCCACCCATTTTCTAAAATAAAATAAAACATATTTACAAAAATTTTGAGGTAAATGAATAGTTTAGGTCCCCCACTTCAATTCACTTTCCGCTCACGGATTTGTAATCTACGCGTAAAAATAAGACGACTTAAAAAAAAATCATTTTTGAGGGCTCCTAAGTTGAGGGACCTAAACTATACATTTACCAAAATTCACTTTAAAAAATAGCTTTGGTAAAAAAAAGTTGTACATTCCCTCTAAAACCAATTCAAGTATAATATGTATATCATACGTTTGTACATAATAATATGCACATTTTTATATGTGCGCAGAAACACTACAAAAAGCATACATTTTGTATAATTTCACGTGAAAATCCTAAATATTAGTTCGCACTGGATTGTTATGTTCATATCTTACATCCTATCGCAGAAGTCCATATATAAATAAAATGTAATTTCAATTAAAACCGTGTAAATATAATTTAAAGATTATTTTCTTATTGATTTATTATAAATGAATTTTAAAACATATGTATATCCCGTACAGGTACAAATTCACCTATGCCATTGGAGCGCACATAAATAAAGTAAAAATCTAAACAAAACAAATAAGGCAAACTTTAAAAAGAACTCTGTTCTTCACATACATATATTTAAGCTTTTGAAAGTATCCAAAAATTGCGACATGATAAACCGTAATGAAAAAATTGCGCAAATGAAACTAATAAACCAAATTAGTCTACTTTCATGTCGTTACGACCTAGAGCATGCTTTTGTCAAACTCACTTCAAGGTAAAGGAACTAGACCGTCGTAATCTCCATTTTTATCATTGTTGGACTAGTACGGGTCTATACAACTAAGAAGTTGAATCACATGTACTTACGATCACAGTCTAACTCTTCTGCCACATCTATCCAAGCTCTTTCTCTGCAATCCCTTCTTGTATATTCTTTTAATTCAGTGTTGTACAGAAGAGGATATTTTTTCACAGTTTTTACTAATCTTATATTAAATTTGTGGTCTTGTAGTCCGTCCATATTGATATAAAAAAGTTTACACATTCCAAAATAAAGCACGAATATATCCAACTCAACACAGTAGTTACCTACGAAACTACACGACAAACTGAATTCGTCTACTTCAACAATCGTACAACGCTCAGTCGGACACAATCGCAGCGAAACAAACGCCATTATGTGACGACTGTGGGTTCTGTAAATGCATAGAAATTCGACCATGTGTGCTCTGAAATATTATGGCCAATTCACATAGGACTTTTGCTTCGCTTTGAATTAGACGTTTGTTTTGACAGCAAAGTTTAATGTACGCTGTATAAGCAGAGAACTCAAACTCACCTACTTTTAGGTAGATCTACCAACTTATAATACATTTTTCGAATCTACAAACTTGGATAAAAAACTTCCAACTTTTTAATTTTATAAAATTTAATTGGTATTTTGTAAAAATATTATGTTAAGAATTTTACTTTTTATCACCAATCAAATTATTTATTTTTGATAGGAAATAATAAAAATTAATTCAGGCTTTTAAATAATGCTAATTTGTAATTTAGTTATTAAAAGTCAGTAATAACGTTTGGTGTAGAACAGAAAAAAGTAAAGCACTTTCTATACTTATCTATAATTCCATATTAAGGCTTAACCATTTCCCTACTCAGTGGAAGTGTGGTGAAATTGTGATGGTACCCAAACCAGGTAAAGCCGAGAACGAAATCACTTCATATAGACCAATCAGTTTGTTGTCTCTACTCTCCAAAATATTTTTGAGTAGAGTACTGTTAATACTAAATGAGAATAAGGTGATACCAGAACATCAATTTGGGCTTCGTCGATATCACGATACACCTTTAGTAAATTACAGCTTATTGTTAATTGCTACTTAAGCTGATGGCACTGCTCTAATATCCTCCACTTGAAGCAATTAATATGGTACAAGAAGAATTGGACAAGATACAGACTTGGCTAGATTGCTTGAAAATGAAAGTAAATCTGTACATGTTTTATTTGCATTGGCGAAGACAGCCTTCCTTGCAATAATATTCCTAAAAGTGAACCTCGGCATGCACTTGGACAAACGGTTAACATGGATCAGCATATACAAGCCAAAATAAACAATTAAAATAAAACTAACCAAGGTTATTGGCTACTCGGACATAAGTCGCCGTAGTACATGTCCCTTTTTCAGTATTTTTAACATTTTCAGATAAGAACAATTTTAAACGACATATGTATGAACTAATTAATTTAAACATTTGTGTATTATTTTAATCCTCTTGGTTGAGAATGATCTTAAAGATCCGATTGGGTAGCGATTTAAACTATTTTACAATATAATTTAAGAAAATTAATGACCAAGCACTTTAATACCTTTACGCCTGCGTGCGCCTTTATTTTCTACCAATGAGGAATCGGGACCATATTTTGCAATAATTCGATACTCATTTAACTCACACTTATTTTTTTCATCTATTTGAATGTAGAGAAGGATATGTACTTATATGTATTTACATAAGTATATGTAGAGAATGTAGATTATAGAGAAGGTTCACAGTATCGTAAACAGGTAGTAGAAAGAATCAGCTGATGGATAAACAAAGCTGTTAAAATTAAATTACCAGCGGGTAGAGTTCTCAATGCTTATTGGATTTTAACGATTGTGACCGGTTGGTTGACACCAAACCAGAGACGAATACAATCAACCAAGTTACAATCAGAGAGAAGTCGCACACAAGTCCTCTGACATTTATAGGAGTTCAACGGAATTTAAAATACCGTAACTTTAAGTATGCGTAACAAAGACAATTATAAAGACAAATGAATGATAAAGAGAGATGACGAATATAAAGCTTAGATAAGACAGTATTGCCAGATTAGAGTTGACATTATTAGAAAATAATCTTAAACTAATGTAAATAATCCTAAACATCCTGCCCGGTCGAGTCGGTCGACTCGAAATCTTCCTTCTCTATCAATAGACATAGTTTCTGGATGGCTCGTTTCATGTATCCTCTAGCGGTTCTCAACGTGACATTGCGGACCACTCCATCCGCTCCGGGATGTAGTGTTGTCACTCGACCCAGGCACCAGTGAGTGGGAGGCAGGTTCTCTTGTTTGACTAGAACGATATCGTCCACCCTTATATTCCTCGTGCGTCGAAACCATTTGTGGCGTCTCTGCAGAATGGTTAGATACTCCTCACTCCACCGCTTCCAAAATCCTTGTTGAATTTGACGTATCCATTGCCATTGTTTCAGCCGGTTGCTAGGAATATGGTTGATATCTGGTTCAGGGACCGCTAGGAGTGGCGACCCAATCAGGAAATCACCTGGGGTTAATGCAAGTTTCTCTTCAGGATCGTCGTAAAGTGGGGTTATAGGACGGGAATTGAGACAGGCCTCTATTCTTACGGCTAGTGTCTGTAGTTGACCATACCACATGACCTGCGTACCCACACATCGTGTCAAATGATGCTTAGCGGACTTCACAGCAGCCTCCCAGAGGCCTCCTTGATGTGGCGCACTGGGTGTGATGAAATGCCAACGTGTGCCCGAATCTGCTAACGATCGCTGATTATTCTCACCCTGCCATGCTGCAAGATCCTCCTTCAAAAGGCGGTTGGCACCAACAAAGGCTGTACCATTGTCACTATATAAATCCCGGCAGGGACCGCGTCGGCTGACGAAACGAGTAAAAGTATCTAGAAAGGCCTGTGCCGATAGGTCATCAACCACCTCAATGTGCACGGCCTTGGTAACCATGCATACGAATATTGCGAGGTACGTCTTAATGTGCGTTCGAGAGCGTTTCGTTCCGATGCGTAGCGTAAAAGGTCCACAGTAATCGACACCAGATGATGTGAACGGCCTTGCTGCTCTGATCCTCTGCCCGGGTAAGGAAGCCATTTGTTGCTTCAGGACTTCCCCTCTATGACGACGGCATACTGTGCAGTTATGGATGAAACTCTTGACTGCTTGCCTGGCACTCAGAATCCAGAAGCGTTGACGAAGAGTGTCCAGCATGAGTTGCGCGCCTCCATGCAGTGTAATCTCATGCGCCTGATTTAGTAAAAGCTTGACCAACGGCGTTGACTTTGGCAAAATAATCGGGAATCGCTGATCATGCCCTAGTTCGGCCTGTTGGATGCGTCCCCCCACACGGAGGATTTGGTTCTTGTCTAGAAATGGGTTTAAAGGTATTATCCGACTGGAAGATGACAAACCTGAACTAGACGTCAATTGTCGAATTTCATTTGCAAAATGTTCCTCTTGCTCTAAACGGATTATAGTGTATAATGCGTCTTCCAACTCCTGAGCAACGATCACCGGTTGACGAAAGTGTCGACGCCTTCTTAACCAGCGCAGTATAATGGCCAATGTACCCAACAATCGAGTGATACTACTGAACCGTTCAGTTAACAAAATAGCGTGTCCGTTTGGACGACGAGTATACACCGGATGTGAAATGAGTACAATAAATTTGGTTGTATTTCGGTTTTCGGCGAGTAAAACATCTGACTCATCCTTGCTGAGAGGAACATCACTACTGTCCCCATACATCATCTCTGCCTCCTTAGGTCCATGCCACCAAAGGGGATGTACTAATAGCTCGGCGGGTGTGATACCTCTACTGGCACAATCAACTGGGTTATGAGCCGAACGAATGTGATGCCATCGGGCGGGGGATGTCAGCTCCTGTATTCTACGAACCCGATTTGATATAAATGGTTTAAGTGTTGCTGGATCCTTCCTGAGCCAACACAATACGATTGCTGAGTCCGACCACAGATGGTAGGGAACGTCAACTAATCCCAAAGAATCTCGCACGTTCTGGAATGTCTCGGCAAGAAGCAGCGCTGCCGCAAGTTCCAGGCGTGGAATGGTAGCGATTTTAAGTGGTGCCACTTTGGTACGTGCCGTTAGAAGTGTGAAACGCATCGCACCGTTCGTGTTCGATGTCTTCGCGTAAATAACTGCTGCATAAGCATGTGAACTGGCATCGCAAAACCCATGAAATGATGTCTGAACGCGTGGAATCATTCCCATCCACCGTTCGATACGAATTTGATTGAGCTCCGGAAGCTGTGACCGATACTTCAGCCATTCGCGGCAAAGATCATCAGGTAATGGTGAGTCCCAGGATAGACCCGCAGACCATAGTCGCTGAATGAATATTTTCCCTGTTACGATAACAGGCGATAAGAATCCAGTAGGATCGAAGAGTCGTGCCACCTCGCTGAGTACACGGCGCTTCGTTGGAAGTTCTACTCTTTGACATAAATCGACGCGAAAGAATAACTGATCCTCCAGTGCGTCCCATCTTAAGCCCAAAACGGAAGCCTCACCAGCATGGAAGACATAATTAGAAAGTGACGGCTCATTAGATAAACGAATCATTACCTGACTATCGTTCGAGTTCCATTTTCTTAGAGTGAACTGTCCCGCAGATAAGATGGCGTCCACGTTCTTAGCCAGCTCCACTGCTTCGGTAACGCTTTCACAACTCGTTAAGAAGTCGTCAACATAAAACGAGGTTAATATCGCAGCTCGAGCCCGCGTCCCTTGTTGTCTTTCGGGAACCACAGCTGAATTATCATAAGCACATTGTTGTAGGGCTCGTACTGCATTGTAAGGACTGCATGCCATGCCATATGTGATGGTCTTCAGGCGATACACCTGGATCTCGTCTGCAGGAGTCTCTCGCCATATAATTCGTTGATAGTCGCGATGTTCAGATGCAACCAATACTTGCCTGAACATCTTCTCTATGTCCGCAGTTATCGCCGAAAACGTAAAAGTATACTACTCAGCGAATCCTGTAGGGTCGGACCTACCAGTTGAACATCGTTCAGTGAGATTCCAGTGCTGGTAGGTGCCGAAGCGTTGAACACCACGCGGAACTTCGTTGTGACCGCATGATGAGGAATGTAGTAGCAATTGGTATGATCATAAGGTGGTTGTACTAGTTCCATGTGTCCGAGTGCTGCATACTCCCTCATAAATGAAATGTAGTTTTCCCTAAGGACTGGATCCGCAACCATGCGACGCTCCAGTCTATGAAATTGCCGTAATGCCAGTGCGTAAGAGTCACCTAGTTCCGTTGCCTTTCG